AAATAAATAAATAAAATTAAAAAAAAAAAAATTCCATATGACTAGTAATTTCCTTGCCAGGTATCTTTCTCAAAGAGCTTAAGTCATCACACTACAGGATACAGGCATACCAATGTTGAGAGCAGCACAACTCATAACAGCTATGTCCTGGAAACAGCCTGGATACCCATCAACAGATGACTGTGTAATGGAATACTACTCGGCTATCAAGGACAAATTTGAGACATTTGTAAGAAAATGAAAGCACCTGGAAAATATGTTGAGTGAAATAAACCAGACACTCAAGCTTAAATGCCCCGAAGCACTTCTCATTTGAGTAAGGCAAAATACAAAGAGATTAGTAAGGATGGACGGACAGGGCAAGAGATGAATCTCTTGCAACAGCCAAGGGGACCAAGAGAAGAGGATGAGAGTAACGGGTGAGGAGGGGGAAAAGGAAATAAGTAGTATAAAGATGTGCCATGTATAGGAACCTAATAACCTCAATTAAGGTAAACATCATATGTCACACCATGAGCTATGATTAATAAGATCAAGAATGAGAAACGGGATAGGAGAATTGGAGAAAGAGGGAAGGTAAGGGGATTTAAAAAAGAAGCTGTGATATGCACATACAACCACTCCCCAAGATGAATATACACTGCATGACTGCAAACATGTACAAATAAAATTTAAAAAAATTAAAATAGATGTTTGCTTTAAACCAAAAAGCTGTGGCCATTATCAGTTATTAAACCACACACAGAACAAATTTTTATAATAGTACTATACATTATTCTCTGGAGGAAAAAGGCACTATTTAAAGCAATCCATGCTAATTCCTCTCAGAAAGTAAACAAGTTTCAATTCTGGTTATAAACCCAAGCTCACACCTGCCACCCTCATGATATGCACAATGGATTTATTAAAGTGAGATAAGCCTGCAATCATCTTGACTTTTTTCCATTTTTAAGACTTGAATCCACTTTCCTGCTAGGATGGCAAGATGAAGCACACTTGCAAATTTAACAAAATGACCAAATCCAGTCTCTCTTTAATCTGCTCAGTAACTGAGCTCTGGGGTAATCTTCTGCCCAGCATACGAAAAGAGCTTTAGATTCATCTACCGTAAGCTAAAATTAATCAGGGAAAGCCTGTGCCAATTTTAATAGCTATTCCTGTTTGTCTGGTTTTTCTATATTAATAATATTGAACTGAACTGACAAACTACATTTGGAAAAAGAACTTTTAAACACAAGTTTTGTTTTTTTAAAGACATCACATACAAAGCTTCCTTCCTTTAACAACTAGTGGACTACCTTTCTGGTTGCAATCATTACCACAGCATTATTATTTTCAAAACATTGTAAGTATTTGCTTATTGCTTTTCAACTGTTACTTGTGAAAAAAAGGGATACCATACCCCCCCATCTCATCTAAGAGTGTATATATTATGCCTTACGATAACAGCAAAATGAAGTGTTGCAAGGATCACTGAACTCCTAATGTTTATATGCAGGAGTCTTAGGTCAAAAGTAGGGGGAATAGCTCAGTGGTATAAGCATCTGCCTGGTAAGTGCAAGGTCCTGAGTTCAATCCTGAGTACCAACAAACAAACAAAAAAAGCTAAACAAAAGTAGGGAGGGTGGATGTCTTAGCCATACTTTCAACATTCAGAATGCTGAATCTGGTATTTTTCACTCAGCCTAGTATTGACTGTTTATGTCTACAAAGAAAAAAATTTCCCTGAGGAAAAACATTCTAGACTTTCTCCCAAGCAATTCCTAAAAGCAGACGCTTTGTCCAAGTGTAGGGAGAATTTTAACACGATGGCTTAAAAAAAAAATAAAAGCTTTCTGGGTGACCTCACCTCCCACCCGTTCACTCCAACCGGGGTATTTTCTTCCAAAATACACACAATATCCAATTTCAAAACTACAGTTTAATGTCCTGGCCAAGAGAAATGGAACCATCCATTCACTGCTGCCACAGGTGAGGTTTGTAAGCCAGGTACCTATTATGAATAGACGGAGAGCTGAACGCTTTACACATAATGCCCCCGTCGCGGAAAGGATGCCTTACCAATCCCGTCTGGCAGGCAGAAGGAAGACTGGGGTCAATCTGTATCGCCAAGCACCGGTGCCCAAGGCCCCCGGGCTCTTGAGCTGCCTCTTCCCACTCTGCTAGACGCTTTGACTCTTAACCTGGGCCGCTCCTCTCCAAAGCGTTTCCTCTCCCGGAGCCCTGGAGAGCTCCCTGGCTAGCAATTGGGTCAGATGACTTTGCACCTTGAAAGCACTTTACTAAACCGAGGCCTTCCCCAGGTTGAGAGGGAAAGGAGCTCCCGCAGCTAAGACACAGGTACTCAGGAAGTGGCCACCGACGGCCTTGGGAACCTCCCACCTTGCCTGCTCTCCCCACAAGGCACCCGCCTTCCTCTCCTCTCCCACACTTGAAGGAGCCAAGCCTCCCTAGCCAGGATGGGCACCCTCTCTTTCAGAGGGGATCCCCTGGACCTGCACACGAGTGGGCCGCTGCGGGGCTTGGGGAAGCTGCAGCGAGAACTCGGGGTCCGCCCTGCCCCTGCTGCGCCACTTCGGGAACAAGTTATTGAGGACGCGCGGGAGACCATAACCCGGGGCGGGGCTGATGCAGGAGTCCCCCGCCTCCCGCGGACCCCGACGCCCCAGCCTCAGCCAGCAGTGCTGGGGGAAATGAAATGGGGGCGCGGCTGCGGGAAACGAGGGCGGGGAGGGGGCAGGGTCTCCAAGAGGCCCGAGGTGGCCACCCGGCCTATGCCCAAGCCACCTCTGCGGGAACAAAGGGCTTCTGTCTCGGGCAGGGCGGCGGACTCGGCGGCTCTGGGCCGAGAAACTTTTCCCGGGCCTCGGGGGCGGGCACGCGGGGTGCCGGGGCTCGCAGTCCTCACTGACCTCCTCGATGGCCGCCACCGTGTTGCGGCACTGGGCCGTGCGCGTGGTGAAGCTGGAGGCCGTGGGCGCCTTGTAGTCCTCGAGGGTCTCGGCCACGAATTCCGACACGGAGATCTGGTCCGGCATCGCCGCGGCGCGCGAGGCCAAGGGACGGCCGCCGCCTCAGTCTGCGACGCCGCGCGCTCCGGACGGCGGACAAAGGCAAGCGCGGCGAGGGAGCCGCCAGGGGCGCAGGGCCGGCGCGGCCGCACTTCGGCCGCCGTCCGCCCGCGCGCGTGGGCGCCTAGGGTAGCCGAGTCTTCCCCGGGCGAGTCTAGTCCGTGCGAGCACCGAGACGGGCGGGCGCGCACAGCCGGCGGGAACTGCCCGGCACCCAGCCGCGCGCCCCAGCGCCTCCCGCAGAGAGGGGCGGGGCCGGTAGGGGGCGGGGCCGTGTGGGGCGGGGCCACGCGGCTGTCCGGCGGCCAATTGGCGCGCTCGCCGCTTCGCCTCCTGGAAGCAAAGCCCGCAGGAAGGGAGGCGCGGGCCCAGCCCTCCAGCCACCCCTGGCTGCCGCGCTGCATTGTCTCGGCCTTCTCCGGGGTTCCGGTGCGCCCCCCACTCTGCTGCTGGCCTGCCGCGGATGAAACGGGCCCCTCCCGGCAGGTACAAGCCCTGGCGCCCGCCTCGGTCAGCCAGGGCCCGTGCAGGGTGCATGGTATATTCTCTCTTTCCTGGGCGGGGCGGAGCCACCCCACTGCTTGCCTATCCTACCCTCGGCGAGGTCCCTCTATCCCTTGAATCCCAACCCAAACCGCAGGAAAGGTCCGGTCTAGCGAGAAGATAGTGCGCGGAGCTCGCCCCCTACAGGAGGATGCGCTTCGCTCTGTGACAAGCCCTTTCTGCCCCTGCCTGGCCAGGGGACAGTTTAGAATGGGTCACAATGACAAGTAGTGACCATGATAGTGTGTCTCTGCTAATACAGTCTCTTTACCCTCACCTTCAAGTTGGGCGGGGTGGCACGCCCTTGAGTATCACAAATTTGAGCTCCAGCCTAGTAGCAAGACCCTGCCTGAAAAAAAAGTAAAAAGGGCTAGGATGAAGTGCAGTGCAGAGGCCCTGGGTTCAATCCCTAGTATCACAGAATTGGGGGTGTGGGAGTAGATGATAGTTGGCTCAACAGTGCTAGGTAAAAGGCCAAATGGTGATTGACACCCATGTCCTTGGACTCAAGACTACCCCCAGCCCCCCTCCAATGCCCCAGTTCTGTTTCTTAGCTAAACTCATGCAATTACAGGCATTTCCAACTAGTTGTAAATAGTTTTAGGGTCCTAGGCCAGGCCACACCCTCAGAGGTCACTAGACACAGACAAGGGGAAATGGGTTCCTCAGGGACATGCTGGCACCCAGGGGACCTTAGGAAGGGCTGCGTCTGAGGAAGAAGAGGAGCTGCTGCTCCTGATTGCACAGCAGAGGCAGTAACACCTGGGACAACCTTAGGCAGCGCTGATCCAAGGAAGCCTGGCTTCATACTGATTCTCATTTACAGCTCTTAGGGAAATTCTCATAGCTATGAGAAATACCCAGGAATTCCCAAGGCAGCCATCAGATGAAATCATACCCGATCCCTTCACACCAGGCACATGGCATGGGTTCTGTGGCTACCAGCAAGAAAAGCAAGAGAAACTTTACAAAAACCTTTGGTGCCTCTGAGGAGGAGGAAGTGGGAGAGACGCTAAGAGCTTGTTGCACAGACAGAGCGGCCTCTGGACTGCAAGAAGGACAGTGGACGAGTCAAACAGCCTCTCTTACACTCCCATGTAGGAATTTTCTACATGAGGTGGCATCTTGGGTCAGACATTATGTATGGCTTTTGGTATTTTAGTAGCACTACATGTGAAATTTAACTTTCACAAATAGCTGTACTACTGAGTAGCTTTGATCACTGCATTAAGCCAAGGATTTCAATCTAAAAACTGTGCTTGTCTCCATCTTTCTTGTATTTTTTTCACCCTTTTAGTATCTATGGCAGGTTCCTCTATTTACAGCTTTCTACAATTCAAGACCAGTGTGTATTATTCATCTTAGCACATCCTCTCCTACACAAGATAGTTTCTGTTCTCTCCTACCTACTTTTCCAACTACAATCTTTTTATTACTCTTTCAGGTTGGAGGACATCATGGCTAACTCTTCCAGTCTTGAATTTTGGAGGGCTGGTCTCTATGATGCTTTGAGGGATTTAAGAGAAAGTCATGTTTTTCTTGGCATCAAGTCCAGCATTCACCAGCCTAATCAAGATTTGTATAAGGACAAAGTTAACATTGGTGTTCTCTATTTCTTTGTTCTTGTTTCTAGTAGTTTAATATAATTTTTCCGATATAAGAACTTTACTAGAGCCAGCGAGATAGATCAGCAGACTAAGCACTTGCTTTGGCAAGCACAGGGACCAGGGTTCAATCCCCTGTCCTGCGTGCTGCGCCAATCCCACCCAGGGGCGCGCTGAACCTGTGACTGAGTCCTGCTGTAGTGGCATACACCTGTAATCCTAGCACTGGGAAGGCTGAAAACAGGAGGATTGCTATGAGTCTGAGCTGTGTAGTGAGACCCTGTACCAAATACATTGAAGAAGAACAACAACAACAACTTCATTAGCTTTAGGGCTGCTGTAGTGGTACACACCTGTCATCACAGCACTCAGGAGGCTAAGACAGGAGGATCACTGGGAATTTGAGGCCAACCTGGACTACACAGTGAGTTTAAGGCCAGTTGGAACTGTACAGTGAAACCCTACCTCAAAAGAACAGAGAGAGAGAGAGAGAGAGAGAGAGAGAGAGAGAGAGAGAGAGAGAAACACTTTAATAGCTGTGGGGCCAGCATGGTGGCTCATACGTGTAGACACAGCACTCAGGAGGATCCCTGAAAGTTCAAGGCTGTCCTAAACTACACGGTGAGACCTGGCTTAAAAATAAAGAAGAGAAAAATAATCTTTAATAGCCTTAAAAAATTAAGTTACGAAGATGTTTTATGTTGCACAAGTAGATAGAAAAAGGGACCAGGGATGTAGTTCAGTGGCATAAGCGCCATCACTAAGTCCATTTGGAGTGTGCATGGGAATGTGAGATTGGTGAGACACAAAAGCAGACAGCTCCTCCATCATTGCTTAGAAATCTGACTTGCACTGAGAACTAAAGACAGGGGAAAGTATAGTAGATGCCTCTCTGAAGTTAATATGAGTTACTTCCAACAAATAAAAAAGTTAAAATCGAACATGGACCAAGAAAACATTATACACACACTTTTCTCCTGGGTCAAGAGGATGCTGACGGAACTACCTACCAGACACCTGTATCCTTTATTCAGAATTATTAAATCTAAAAGCTAAAATCTAATTTTAAAAATAATTTGTCATAAAGTGACCTGAAATGAGCTTACATGAAGCTCATTTGAATATATTTTGATGCAAAATGTGGATGTGATTATAAATGTGATGATTATGGAGTATTACCCCAAACTCTACCACGGGTGATTCAAAATATGTACTGTTATCTTTCTAAAATCTGAGAATTTTTTTAATCCACACCTGTCTGGCCTATGAGTTTAAATAAGACACTACAGTCCTGTAATATTTCAAAAAGAGAAAAATGTATTAGTCCATTTCTGCTGCTATCACAAAACACCTAAAGCTGGGAACTTTTAAGCAAAAGATTATGAAGCCCACAGTTTGGGGGATGCAGGGCCAAGATCAAGCAGCCCCATCGATTTGGCCTCCAATAAAGGCCTCCCAGGGGATGCCAACATGATGGGATCATCTGTGAGACTGGTCTCTGTGAGACAGGAAGCCACGCAGGACTCAGAGGTCTAGTTTCCTCTTTTATAACAACTCACAGTCAAAATCTAATAGATATCTCAAAGAAACTATTTTGATCCCTTTTAAGACAAAGTCTCTGATGAGCAAACCACTTCTCTCTACAGCCCACCACCTAGAAGCACCACTGCCACACTAAGGACTGACACACTAAGGGCATGAGCAACTAGAGACAGATCACATCAAACCAGAGCAGAGAGAGCGAGCATATTAGGGTTTGGACCTTAAATATCATTTATTTATTTATTTATTTATTTGTATTTTAGGGAAGGGTCTACAGGGTGTTCAGGGTCTCACTACTAGTTCAGACTTGTAGTGATCCACCTGTTTACAGCCTCCCAAGTGCTGGGATTACAGGCATGCGCCACCCCGCCCAGTCTCAATCGCTGTCTCAGCATGCCCGGGGGCAGGGCCAGCACAGCAGGCCCAGGGATTGAACCTCTGGCCCCTGCACCTCCTTGCAAGTGCTTTAATCCGCTGAGCTATTTGGCTGGCCCTTTAAATATCTTTTAAAGGCTAGTGTGTTGAAGGGTTGCTCCACAAAGCAGCAAGGGCTTTGTAATCTTTTGTTTATAAAGTTCCCTGTTTTAGGGTCAGAGGTTGTAAAACTTCAGGAGGCAAGGCCCAGATGGGGGGAATATGTTATGGAGGTCATGCCCTTGAAGAGTTTATGAGAATCCCAGCCCCTTCCTCTTGTGGCCTCTCAACACATACCAAAAAGCAAGAGAGCAAAGAGATCATAGACTGAACCTCTAATATCCTGAGCTGGAATAAACCTTTCCTCCTGCAAGTTGACTCACCTCGGGTATTATGTCACAGCAAAGAAAGCTGATGGGGGGAGGAATGACAAAATTTCAGCAGCTAACAGATAGGCAAATAATCCATTTTCAAAGGCATTTTGTACCTCCAAAGGCTCAGGCAAACCTGAGTTTGTTTGTTTGTTTGTTTGTTTGTTTGTTTTACCCTCAGGTCAAAGTGTAAAATATCTTAACTCTGAAATTTGCTCAAGTTGGCTGGCTTACCACAAGACTTGTCCAGTTCTCTTACTCCCAGTTGCTTATTCTTGGAATAGAAATATCTGTACCTTGAAGGAACTGTGGCAAAGAGTATAATAAAACAGAAACAATGTGAAAAACCCCGTAGTCATGCTGTGGACACAGTCAGAAGTTTCTTGCTCTCTTCCAAAGTAAACAGTGTTGTGGAAGGGACCCTAAAAAAGCTTAGATTTTGCTGTCACCTTTGCTTATCTGTGATAAGTAAATCACCTCCCTGGATTTCACTCACTTGCTAAACAAGGGGGAGCTTAAAGTCCTACGCTCTTTTCTAAGTCTGATCTCTCTTCTGCTTTCATGATCCCATTATCCATGAATTTCTCTTTGGTACTTCTTTTTTATTCAAGTGTTAGTGATTGAACCTAGGGCCTGAGCTGCATCCTCAGCCTTTTGTTTAATTTTTCATTTTGATACAGTTTCTCACTAACTTGCTAAATTGCCCAGGTCTGGGCTGGAATATGCAACCCTACCTCAGCAT